GCTTGGTAAACGGATTAACGACGTTGCTCCCCGGTCTGTGCACTTTACCTCGATGTAAAATTTTTATTATACCGCCATCTATCGTAAGTAGTAAGACCTGACTGGCGTCAAACTATGTGGAGAGTACTATTATTTATTCTGTGGTGGAGGCCTATGTTTAGCAGACGTAACGATAACGGTAACATCTTATAAATATTGAAGAAAGACTTTTTTATTTAATTAAAATCTATTTATATTAACCGTACTAAAACTTGGACCAAAATTTAACATAATGAGCACTTTCTCTATGCTACTAATATTATTAAAGTTGTAATAAATTTTCGTAGTAAAATGAACGTAAAATATGATAATATGTTATGGAACAGCACTAAAACTGCACAAGATTATAGATTTAAGTAATAAATATTAAAATATAAACATTGTCGTTAATAGTTTTCTGGCGTAAGAGGCGGATGAATCTCACACAAGAGGGATGTTTGCCATAGTTGCCACGCTTGGCATGCGGGTTAGCAACAGTTTTCAATTTATAGTTATTGATGTTGAGAAACTGATTTATTTCTCTCTGTCGCATTTCACGACACCCACGGGATGTTATGGGGTTATGGATACTTTTGCACCACTACTATACGGAACTACTACACTTTATAAGATCGCAAGTGTGTATTTAAAATCTCCTTTGTCTTTTCAAACTGAAGCACAGTGGTGGATTCATTGCATAAATAAAATTTAGTTTTATACGCCACTAAAGTTAAAGTAAAGTTACAGCCTCACGCCTACAGCCCACCAGCCTACGTGCCACTGCTGGGCACAGGCCTCCCCTCATTTCTGAGGGGGTTTTAGGACAAGGAAGTGACGGCCGCTGACGGCGGCTGCCCGCAAGTGACCGTGTGGCCGAGTCTACTTTACCTGAGGATGTCCTCGAAATCGTATTTTCTCGATTTGTCTTGACCTGGACATAGTGGTGTTGAGAGTAGTGGTGCTTCCTCACGATGTTTTCCTTCACCGCCGAGCACGTGGTAAATCAGCACTTAAAATTGCAATTATCAATTTCATTGGTGCCGACGGGGATCGAATCTGGGTTACTCGCGTTCTGATATATTTACAGCGAGCGTTAACCATCTCAGCTACAACGGCACGCCACTAATTAAATTAAATTGACAAAATGATAATAAGTAATTCTAATCATAATTGTTAAAAAATGTCATATTTACGATATAATCTACCAGAGCCGGTATTAACCGAAAATTCACCACCTTCCCTTTTTTACTTAGGAAAACCAAAGCCCCACTGGTACCTAGTCGAGCCGGGTTACCTAATTTGTTTCGAAGGCTCTTAAGGTATTTCAATTGACTACTGTATCAAATATCCAACACAATATAATATATAAAAATTAATGTTGTATTATATTATGCGTGGGAGTTAGGCTATACTTTTTACTATTGTTCAGTAGCGGTTGATATTTTTTTTTCCCGGGTACCAGCTAGTAGATATATGCATAAAATTTTTGCGAATCTAGAGGTACAACCATAGACATCTACATTTATCCTCGATTAAGAATGAAAATCCAGATGCGTTGTCACCCCCGATAAAGTATTATGTCGTCAAAATTTTTAGAGTCAAAAAAAAATGCTTTCAGGGCGAGGCCTATGTTGAGTTTGGATTTTAGATGGACTGTGATGAATGATGGATGATCAACTCGGTAGTACAGTGGCTAAGTTTTTAGTTTGCCGCTGTGGGCTGTAGGATCGAATTCTGCACCGAGAGAGCGTTTGTATGAACTTCAAATTATTGTAATGGGTCTGGATATTCTGTTTATGTAAGTGTCGTAGGATAATTAGTTTAACGGAAATTTCGGCTAAAATCTAGGGATATTACGAAAACATGGGTAATTAGACAATAGCTACGACGTTTCTCAAACTTACTGAAAAAGATTAAGGGTTTTGCAACTTTGAATATACTTAACTCTGATTGGCGTGATTTTGGTTTATAGGCTTATAGTTTATAAGTAATCTTTTTTTTTGTAAAATGATAACCACACTTTTTACACAGGAATATTGACCCAAAGTTACTTATGTGACAGCTTCGGCGTTGCGGAAAGTGCAGGCCCTTCGCCCGCAAATCGCAATCACCCATACCCTGGTATTGGTATTGGTATTACAATTTGCTACGGCGGGCGGGGGCTGCTCTCCCTCCGTGCCTACTTCTTTACAAAAACACTTTAGGGGTCGGGCAGACAAGATCACGTGGAGCATGGGCGTGTTGATTCCATTTTAGAACAGATTCGACCAATCATTTAACTATCCGTGTTTTCGCAATATCCCTAGATTTTTTCCAAAAATTCGGTTTATCTAATTATCCTACGACATATGTAAAACATCTGCACCATACTTGAGAAATGTCTAGTGTTGGTAATTTTAAAAATCATCATCATCACCATTACAGCCCTTCGCAAGTCCACTGCCGAACATAGGCCTCCTCAAGGTATGCCACATAGCACGGTCCTGAGCCACCTGCACCCATCGACTTCCTGCATGCCTTACCAGATCGTCACTCCATCTAATGTCTGGTCGCCCTACACTACGCCTACCGGTACGAGGCTGCCACTCGAGAACCTTTTTCTGCCATCGTTTGTTGGTTCTTCGAGATATATGGCCGGCCCATTGCCACTTCAGCTTACTAATCCCTTTGGGCTATGTCGGTAACTTTGTTTATACTGTGAATATCCTCATTTCTAAGTTTATCAAGCAGAGAAACCCCGAGAATAGCTCTTTTCGTAGCTCGCTGAGCGACTTTGAGCGTCCTCATACGGCCAGCAGTGAAGGACCATGTCTCAGATCCATAAGTCAGAACTGGCAACACGCACTAGTTGTACAATCTAGTTAAAAAATATATTCATATATGAATAGCGGTATTTAACAATTTCGTTTACGCTAGATTTAGAATATACAGCCTGGCGATAGGAAGTAAGTTAAAATTGCAAATATCGTACTGCCTACGAAATATTAAAAGCAAGAGGAAGCGCAATGTGGAAGTGGCACGCATGCCATAAATAGGCGCAGTACTGCCTAATTAACTGCCAGTTGCAGGCTTATAATTGTCACGAGCTGGCGTGTGGCTACTTATTTCATATATGCGTAAATAGGATGTTTAGGTATTGCCGATTTTTTTAATTCGTCTGTCAAGTATCGTTATTACATGTTAGTAAAAAAAGAAGTAGACGGTGATAGCAATAGCATTTTATTTACAAAACGTATTAAATATAAGAGCATTTTGTTACCTTAAAATGAACATAGTATTGTAACTATTAAATATTTTACATGTGGGAGACATCTTTAAGATGAAACTAAATAATGGTTGTAAATAAAATAATCGATATTTTTAATGAAGTGCTATATTAATACAAAATTCACTGTATAGATTGTTTCTCGATTGCGCCAACTGTCACCTATAACTTTAAAAAAACTCCACTCCACTCAACTCGCTATCCTAGGCTAGAGAGACGGTTAGGATCCCATTATGTTAAATTTGGGCTCGGTATTGTTGAATGCCTCGTTTGCTTACTACTACCCGGATGTTGCACTTGCAAGTAAGGTTAGCATTTGGAGAAGGAAGTTTTTTTAATAAAATTATAGTAAGTGACAAACTAAGCAACAGACCAAGTAATAAGTGTTTACACAAGTACTATCCTACGGCTAAGTATTTCGGCCGCCAAATAGCAGAACAAGCAACTGCTGTTTGACAGCATCACGTAATCGGGACTATGGATATATATACACCCGGACTTCGTTTTATAAAGGTTAAGAAGCAGGCCTGACATTAAGTACTGCCGCATCTTTCCTTAGTTCAGATATTTAAAAAAATTAAGTAGGAAAAGCTTGTTTTGTTTGTATAATATGTTATTTCAGTGGTAGGTATGCCAACGTTACACGAGTATTAAAAAGTACAAGACTATATATATTTATTCATAAAACTTGAAGAGGTTTGCGCTATGTTAAACAATGAAATTATTTATCTGGGATAAGTATATTAGAGTTCAGGAAATGTTATTTTGGGAATAAATCCGTGTTACGGTATATAGCTTCAGTAAAATGCATCAGTACACAGTCCTACGGTGACTTAGTTGGCGTTGCTATATTACAAAGTATTTTCAAGTTAACCAAATGCCATACTGAAGTTACGTAATAAGATTTTGATTTAAAATGTTTTGCTGTTTGTTTAATTAAAAATATTTCAAGGATATATAAAGTCCATCCACTTGTATTAGGGAATCACTACGGATTCTTCAAAAGTCCCAAAACCCTGTCAAAAATTCTGTCAGGTAGCCTGTCACCTGTCACACACCTGGGCACAGGTATTGTGTGGGCTACACACTATTTTACTCTTTAATTAGAGGCGTGGGTCATTTTCTATAAATTGTTACACAGATCATGTACTTGATGTTTAGATTAAAGATTAAAAGTAATTCAAAATACTATATTTAAAAAATCGATAGCGCAAATATTGTGGAATAGACGTTTTGATTTTTTTTATAGGGTAAGTGTGACAAGCGAGCTCACAGTCCACCTGATGGCAAGTCATTGCTGTGACGCATAGACATCTACATATATCCTCGATTACGAATCAAGATGCAGATGCGTTGTCACCCGTGAGGACTAATATGGAATGCCTTATTTCCTGTAAAAGGGTCTCCTGTTCTCTACACTCACCATATGAAGCACAGCGTTAAGCTGCTATTTTACACTGGTATTCTATGAGAGCGTGTTTCTTCCCCGGTCGAGCTACAACTATACCACTAATGTAATTGCAACATGGCTCTACCACGAAATTTGACTGAAATACTATTAAAATACATATAATAAAAATACTAGAAGTTGTTTGTTTACGATTCTTTCACACAATTGGAATGGCTGACTTAAAGCAACTAAATCGAACATTATTCCATCTACATTATTTTTATCACAGATTTAAAAAATATCAATGGTGTAGCAACGCTGAATCTGTTAGACATATAAATTTCTGTCAGATTTCACTTTCAATGTTCTATAAGCACCATGGGCTCCCTCGTCGATATCATCATGCCTATTTAGTGATTTGCAGGAGTGGGTCCTCGTGATCACGTCGTAAGAACCGATGGCTCCGCGGAGGTTTCGAACGGCACTTCGATGTCGCGACCGTGTGCGGACCTCTGGAGTCAGCTCCGTTTCATAGTATTTACGTTCTTCTAACTGAAGCCAGCACGAGTTTGATAAGAGTTTCTTCGTCCATTCATCTATAAGTACAAACGCAGTTGGGTGAAAATAAAATACGAACCCTAAAAACTACTGTAAGCGTAAAAATATAAGACTAATAAGAATACCTAATACATCAATAGTAAAACTAAATTAGGACCAGGGAAGTGCTGAAGACACTAGTCATAAATTTCATAGTGTGGGAGTGATTACGATCCCCGCCAGCACCAAAATAATTCCTTTTGAGGGCTGTTTTACCAAGTACTCTAAAGAAGAAGAAAATGTAGTCGTAAAATCTGTGTTATAGAAAATATTTCAAGGATTTATGAATACAATAAACGCAGATTAGGGCAGCATGTTGGTATTTTCCCTGTACGAAAATTGTCTGATAAATAAGAGATGGCAGTAGGGGTATTTTGTTGCACGAATGAATCAGCTTGACCGGGAAAGGACCACGTTCTTTTGAAATACCAGCGCACTGGGTAACCGGAGAACCTCTTTACTGGAAACAACGCATTCTATCTTACTCCTCATGAGTGACAATGCATCTGCATTTTGATTCTTTATCGAGGGTAGATGTAGATATATGTGGACCACAGCATCCACTTTCCATCAGGTAGAATTTGTGCTGGCTTGTGACCCTTATTCTATAAATAAATAGAATTATTCGCTCATACGTCAGGGATCGAGTTTTTGCGCGAGTCGATTTGTGATGACCCTCGAAAACAACTTATAGACGTGGCTCAGAAGCGAGATGGCTCGGTAATTTTTTTGCATAGTCTTGTCACCTTTCTTGTGAAACAAGACTGTAATGCTTTTGCTGCACGCTTTTGGAGTTCTTCCATCTAGTAAGATGAAGTTAAAAACAGACGACCTTTTAGCAAGGGTTGACTCCCAGCTTTTAAGAGCTCTGTTGTAACTTCATCTTCTCCAGGGGCTTTTCCATTTTTAAGTTGACCGAGGGCCAGCTCAATCTCCCCAAGGTAGATGTCTGGCAGCTTGTCGGTATAGTGGCGGGTCAGCGTGGCTCTAGGATCATCGCATTTAGGGTTGGGTTTTGGCTTATGTGAGGCATATAGTTTGCCATAATAGTGTTCGGTCTCAGAGAGAACCTCAGGCTTTGACGTGAGGACTTTGCCATCATGCGTCTGGAGTTTTGCGATGTGACTTCTTCCAAACTCCCGAACAAAGGTTTTGGATCCCTTGTTTCGCTCTATTGCCGCTTGTATAGCAATTGCATTAGAGCGACGCAGGTCCCGCCTCACCGCTTTCCTCACAAGCTTGGTTAGTGTCACCTGTTTCGATGGTGGTGTTGTTGTTAACTTACGCCTTCTTTTCATAAGCTGAAGTGTCTCATCTGAGAACTTCGACTTTCGTCCCGTATTTTACTTGCCACAAAACCTGTTTCCTCATCCCGTAAGATCTCAATCACGCTGTTAAGGTCCTCGTCAATATCCAAAGTGGGTCTCAGGGCATCAAATCGATTTTTAAGTTCTAGATGGAAACGTTGGAGCCAGTTACGGTTTGAAACAGATTTGGTCGAATCGTGGACTTCAATCGGGACCTTTCAAGCGTAAAATCGATATTCAGAGTGCCTCGAACAAGTCGGTGATCGCTTCCGGTATTGAATTTGTTGATCACTGAGACGTCTCCGAATATGTGCCTTTTGTCCGTCATGATAAAGTTAATCTCATTTTTTGTAGTATTATCGGGACTGCGCTGCCTTTATAACAGAAAAGAATCATTGAAATAGGACTACTTGGTGAATCACAACATAAATAAAAAAATTGACTAATTGAGAACTAATTTTCTGAAGTCTGTTGAAAATAAATAAGTCTGTTAATAATAAAAATTGAAAAAGATTGTCGTACGCTGCAGATGCACAACAGTTATGTTGTTAGACTGATGGCAACGATTGTAACTTATTTTATAATATTAACATATATGTAGTGTCATGTTGGTTCAGGTTTATCCGCTCGCCTTAATTACATATCAAGCGAGCAGCCTGGTTGGATTCCACTCCAGGTTTTCAAGACAAGAGTAAAAAGGCTTTTGTTATGCTATGTCAGCGTCCAGATTACTTATTATATTCGGCTGTATCACTACTTACCATCAGGTTGGATAGTAATCATACACTGGCTTTTAATAGTTTAAACAATGTAATAATCATATATGAAAAAAAATACGTGTGGCACTCGGTGACTGCCGCGGTAAAGCTATTGCATAGCATTTTTTATCAACTTATGCAATTATAATTATTTATTTATTTTATTTATGCAGTTAAGTCTTTGATATTAAATCAAGTTACACTTTTTGAGCGTGGTGACCGATAAGAAAACAATTTTTTTTCTCTTATTGAATAAATGAGAATTTAATTTTGTTTAAAATATTTTTAATATCTTACAATACATGTAGGTTATTCAGGAATTTTTATCATTGAGTTAGCAGCTAGTGTACACGCATACGTGTAGTCGCACGCACACAAACACCGTGCCGAAGTCTGCCGAACTAAAACGACGTTAGACGATGCACGGCTTTCAACGCCACACCTCCGTGCCCGTCGGAGTGGGGAGCGTGAGGTTTTTTCGTTACGGAATTTCTGGATTCGGTCCCCGCGCTCAAGGCCCGCGATAGAAGCTATGCAATAGCTTAAAAATATTTTATATTTTTGTGTTAAGAAAATTAATATATAAAATATAAAATTTTGAATATTAAATTATGATAAATTAATTATTCAACTTAAACAGCAGCAGTGGCCTCAAAAATCGCAGTTAATTACACGCAAATATCCACTACCAAACCACCAAACCAAACTCCATGAGGTACTTTAATGTAAATATATAATCAGTTTTCTTACCATTCAGATCTTTCATAGCGCCAGCCTTTCCGCCGTACTCATATGGTAAGCCTTCGGATGGAAAGTAATCAACGCCCATGATATGGTTAATTTCTTCTGAGCTCGAATGTAACTGCACGACTTTGCGTCGCCACGGATAAAGTCCAACGTGTAATAGTAATAATGACATAGTCTTCAGACGCTGCGTGTTAATTATGTGGACTTCGGAGAATCTCAGTGGATATGCTGTCTGCAATGAAAAAAGATGTATTAGGAATTGCGACACTGTAGAGCAGTGGCTAGGCATTTGGCTGTTGGCCGTGGGATCTAATTCTGCACGGATCATGTGTTTCGCCCATGTGCAATCTGCGAATGTAAAATGTCTTGACAATGTGTGAGTAATTTCTAGTCAAACGTTCTTTGGCACGCTCTGAAGCCTAAGCAGATTGGTGGATTTTAATATAAGAAGTGTCGTAAGATTTGTCTTAGTTGATGAAAGTGACACAGGATATATTTTTTTTACTACTAGGTTAACTTTTTGAGCGTTTGTATTTTTGAGCTGGTTTAAAATAAATAAAGAAAGTATTCTTTATATTTTCTATGTCATAGAGTCACGCTGCAGTTAAGTTATGGCTATAGAGCGGATAGTTCGGCTTGACAGGGGAAGACGACATTCTCACAAAATACCAGCCTAAAGTAGCTTCTGTTACTTTGTGCGATAAGAAACGAGAAATGGAAACTCTATTTATGAGCAACAAGACTCTGAGAGGTGACTGAGGTGATTACACATTGAGGAGTTTGAATATTAATCAAGGATAAATGTTTCCAACTATGGAAGCAATAAATTTTTATCGGGTATTCGATGTGTGCAATTTTTTTCGTGTAAGTCATGCAAATACTCGTTCCGTGCGGGTTTCAAATCCGCGTCCCTCGGCGCCATAACTTTTGGTAAGCCACTATACCACAGAACCGTAAAATTACATAAAATTATATCATACACATATTTAATACTACAGATTTAAAGAACTCAATTTTATTTTACAGAACCCATAATTATCTTGTGTCGTAATCAAGTGTGCTACGAGTTCGTTTGTCACTATTATATCTTAAAAAGAAGGTTAGGTCATAAATCATGTCAAGAAAAACTATGAAAATGACAATAAATATTTAAAGTTAACTAGCTCTCTCTAATCAAGATATTGAAATAAATATTTCACACTTGGACCTCTTTTTAAATTTGAAAGAGTACCCACAATTGTGCTAGCATGTCAGAGGTCTTTAGGTTTTTTTTATAGAAGATGGAGCAAACGAGCACGCGGTATTCGTAATGAAAATTTATCACCACGGGCTATGAACACCTGCAACTCTGAAAGAATCGCAGATGCGTTGCCAGCCTTTGGGAAGTACTGTCTGGTGATTAAATAAAGTAGTCGTACCGGCAGAAAATGTTCCGGAAAATCGCATAGTGGTGGACCGCCACATGGTGTAGATAAAAATAAAATCCCTTACCTAAACCCGTGTGGTTATATTATAGGACTATTTAACAGTTTCTCGTTTACGTCATAGTAAAAAGTTTTTTTCCTACCCTCATACACCAGACAAAATCCTTCCAGTAGTTGCCCCTGAAATGGTTCTTCAGATGCGACGGCTGCAAATCGCTCACGTCAATGAATACAACTTCTTCGCCTGGCGTTGGATCCTCGCGTAATCTGAGAAGGGTTGGTTGTTGAAATTGGCTATGAAAACAACATCTTATCATTATCATCACCATCAACATATTGTACACAGGTGTCTTAGTTGTTGAAGTATATGTGTACATGGCTATAATTGAAATCGGCAAGCGAATTTTATCAACTTTTTACTATTGATGGAAATTTTCTTAATGCACTTTTTCACTTATTAAAAGCAAGTCCCGTACCTTATTCGCGTAGTGTCGGTGTAACACCACTATTTTATGAAACTGGGTATGGGCAGCAGCATCTTTCAGACAACAAATCTAATTACAAAAATCTGCAATTGCAACCCTCCTGCCATGCGTGGCAACTATGGCAAAACTGCCCCCATAAGGCAATATATGAGTGAGGTCTATGTTGGGCAGTGGATATTTATTAGCTGTAATGGATAGTGCAAGTTATTCACTGTTAGTAGTCTTAGTTATTGACTACTATCCCAGATGGTGGTAAGTGGCAAAGATATAAATAAAATAAAATAAAAGATTTTGAGCAAAAAGAAAATATTGTCAACAGCTGTTAGTAATGTACAAATATATTTTAATAAACACGGATATTGTTAAGCACAAGTTTCTTTCTTCTCAAAATGTAAAATAAAAGAAGCGTGACTCAAAAGCAAACAGCGCGTTCAAAAAAAACAAGGCGCCATTGTTGCCTTTGTTAACTTGAATCGGTTTTGGAAACTGAATTTTCGAATCGAATTTCATTTAGAAGAATGCGTTTAATATGTTTATTTCTAATACACGCTTAAAATCCGCCGTAGAATCAGGGTAAACAACATAGCACAAACGAATTAGTAAGCTAAAGCAGCAATGTCTATAAGGACAAACATGAGAAATTTTACTGACGGTTTTTCCATCTAATTTACTAATATTTAATAATGCAAAAAAATTTTTTTGGGTGGGGTTTATATATTTTTTATCTTTATAGCTGGAAGAACTAACAACCGATGGAGAAAAAAGGTTCTCTTCAAAGAGGTAGAAAGGAGATATATGACGGCCTCCCTCTAGATGGAGCGACAATATGGTAAGAGATGCAGGAAATAGATGGATGTAGATGGCTCAGGACCATACTCCTTGGGAGAGACCTATGTTCAGCAGTGGACAGCAGAGTGCAGTGTTGAAGAGCTGTAATGATGATGACGATGACCATAATTTTCCGCTCATAATGAGTTCATTGTAGAGTAATAAATAATATTTTTCTATACAATAAAAATTGTAGCTGCATCTCGAAGACATCTGAAGAAATCGTTAATAAATAATATAAACATTTTTATTTATTTATTTATTTATTTATTTATAATTTATTGCACCATAAAAAGATTACAAAGTGCGGACATTGCATGCGGAAGGCATTCTCTCCCAGTCAACCCGGGTCTGTTGGTGGAAATTATATGATATGTGACAAAATAAAATTAACAATAGAGTAAATCAAGGAAAAAAAACTACTGATAAACTTAAAAATAAACTAATATTATATATAAATACAATAAACTTATATACTACCAAAATAATACAGATAATATATAACATATACATACAAATTCATAGATACATAAATATATACATATTTTATATACAAATAGATATATAACATAAAGCTATAAATAAAATAACAACAAACGTAACCAAAATTGACCATATTAACTATCATCTAATATCTTCATAAAATGCTTATGTACCAATCTTTTAAAGGCAGTCTTATTAGATGTTTTTCTGACCTCATCGGGCAAGGAGTTCCAGAGCAGTGCAGCCTGAATGGTGAAGGATTTACCAACAAAATTAGTAAATGTAGAGGGATACTTAGTTTATTATTATATGAGGAACGCAGAGTTCTATCATGTATTAGGGAAATATATTGAAATTACTCCTTGAGAAAAGAAGGAGTGGATGGATCATTTAAGATAGAGAAGAGAACAAGCAAAATTCTAGAGTCACGCTTCTGTTTAATAGTGACCCATTTTAGGCGAGAGCGATAGTGAGAAATATGATCAAATTTACGGAGATTGAAAATGTATCTGACGCAATTGTTTAGAAGGCGCTCTAGCTTGTTACGAAGATTTTGGTTTAAATCCGGGTAAAACACGTCTGTATAATCAATGATCGGTAGTATAAGTATTTTACAGGAGCGACCAAACTATGGCTGAGATTTGCCTCCAATGGGCACCACAGAGGAAGGAATAAAAAGTTCCATACCCTGAAGTACCACATCAGCGACAGAATCCGCAACAACGTTGGGATCGTCCGGCGAGAAGCAAACCCGCTCCCAAGGGTAGGATGCAAAGAAAGACCGCATCCCATCCCAATCGGCTGACCTATAGTGCCAAACAAGGCGGCAGCCTGCAGAATGCAACTGCGATTTCAGCGTGAGTGGCACCACACTCCGGACAAGACAATGGTCCGTGGAGCCTAAAGGGGCTTCGACGGAAATCTGATATCCGTCCGGGTGAGAGGTCAGCAGAAGGTCCAACAGGGAAGGTGCATGATCCTCCACATCTGGAATCCGCGTAGGCGAAGTAACCAGTTGTGTCAGATCAGATGCCAAGGCAAAATCATGAACAGATCTCCCCGCATGATCGGTTAAACGTGAACCAAGCCATTCGGCGTGATGGGCGTTAAAGTCGCCGAGGATCACGATTTCTGCGGAGGGGATCTGCTGTAGCAACGAATCTGTAGCCATTTGGACGTGGTCGAAGAGTCGGTCTGTTTCGGCATTACCGCTATGGGACCTATAGAGGCACCCGTAGACGCGCGGATGGTCGTCGCTGTCTACGCGTAGCCAAAGGATGGACAGGTCCGTACCTTCAAGTCTGCCGAAGCGTCGAGAACAGATGTCCTCTCTGACGTAAACGCAAACTCCAGCCCGAGGCACAAAGGAGTGTTCCAGTTTGTACCCCGGGTAGGAGAGATCAGCCGGAGAGGACACCTGCGTCTCGGTCAGGAAGAGCAGAGCCGGCCTCGCCGTCTCGAGATGGTAGTGGACGGCGTTTATGTTAGAGTGAAGTCCCCTGATATTGCAGAAATTCAAGGACAGCGTGGCAGGGGTCGCCTTGGTCTTGTTGCTCCGTTTGCCCCAAGCAGTTGTAGTCTTGAGCGGAATTTTGCCCCCCCCCCTCCCCAGAATACGCGGGGCAGCCTGAGCACCCACGCTCAGAAGTGGAGAAACATGGTCGTGGATGCTCAGCGAGGGATTCTCCAGGGGTGCTGGTACCCTCTTGGAGTAGTCTATCATTATTTAATTCCGCTACCATGTTGCTTGGGGGGGGAGGGATTTCGGCCTCCGGCCACCTGCACTCACCAGACGAAACGCCGGTATTCTGTGAGGTTGTAGTACCACCCCGGTTTGAGCAGGTCCATACGTGCAACAGCAAAGCTGCCGCGTGGCTCTACCACTGTTAAAACATTACATATACAAACTTTGGTTACATTTTAACACTTTTACATGATAAAAATTATAAACACAAACTAATTTACTAAAGTGTATGTTGGTGATGTAGGCCACTGGTGTCGTCTGGGAGTAAAATAAACTAAAAAAATTTGGTGAGCGCGTGTACATCTGCGGGGAGGGAGACATAAGTGTCCCTCCCCGCCGTACCCCGTATGATGTTCTAGTGCAACTGACTAAGTGCGGTATCATGAACTCCGCGGTGCAACACCGATGTTGCAAAATATACCTACATCCTACAATAAAAATCGCGGTAAGTGCCACCGTCCCCGTATGCACACGTACTTATTTATTATTGAAAAACAACTAGAACAAAAGGTAAGTAACAATTTCTTATGTGTATATATTTTACATATACTATGTTTTATTAACTAATATTATTTATATTTCAGATATCCGAGAAGCAACGTGAGCGTCGTTAACATCCTCCCCCCAAGTGTCGGTTCGCCAACACTCATTACCAAGCTGGAGAAAGGCCACGCGAGCAGCTGATCGCTTCACCACTCCTGACTTAGTCAGTTAGACGTAGAGACAAGCTCGCCTGAGTCCCATGCGCTGCGCGCGCGCATTATCTCGTTTTCACCGTATAATCCGAGGTCATCTGCGATATCAGCGGATATCACCGTCACGGTAGCTCCATCATCCAGTAGGGCATGCATATGCAAACTGCCATTCGGTCCGTGAAGTGTGAGCGGCACCACTTTCAAAAGCACCTTGTGACAGTGGGATGCCACCGTATGAGTCACTGTTTCATTGGTGCTGGGATGCTCATCCTCACCTTGCTCCGCAGTTTTTAAGCTTTCTTTGAGGGCTTGACCCAGTGCAGTAAACGATGATGCGGTTCATTGCAGCCTTCGATGTCGCAATTACTGCCATTACACGACATACCATTCATGTGGCGAGGATCAAGGCATTTGAAGCAAAGTTTATTTACGCGTACAAATCGCCAGCGATCTTTGCGTAAGGCGCGCTTAAAACGTAAACAATTTGCGAGATCCTGAGCCCCTTTTCGGCAAAATTTACACTTTTCTGCGTTTTCTATTTGATTACTATTTGTACACAGTAATAGCGAGTGTGAACGGTGTTTACGTTCATCTTCTTTAAACTATATTGGGCGTGAATATGACTTACCCCTGATGCAACTGTTTTAGTGGCTTCCTCATATAAAAATCGCTAAGCAATTCTAATTTCGGTGTATTACACTCTCGTCGTTCATAAATATAATCGGTCCATTTTGCGACAAGTAAAGTTGGAAGCTTGGATACAACAATAGATATTAACTCCGGGCTGCAAAGATAATCGCGTCGTTGCATAGCTTTGGCAGCAGCCACATAGTTCTTTATTTTTATAGCGAAGTTAATAATATCATTATGATAAGTTAACGGCAACGGGCTTAATTTTTTTAACTGTAGAACTATTTTACACATAATTGTTTCCGGTTTGCCAAATCGAAGTTCTAAAGTGTCAATTATTAAATCGGGTGTAGTTCCATCAACCAATAGTGTAGTCACCGCTTCCTTAGCATCGCCACGAAG